CGAACGTCCAATGCGTGATCGGAAACTGCCGGTCTGGATGGCTGATTATTGTTAAGTTCATTATACTTGTAACTTCTAATAAAATTTTCAAGGGACCATATTAAGTAAATCCCATTCTCTTCATTCAAATTCAATTCTCAGTATTACTTAATTAAAACTCAATAAGAGTAACCAGTATTTCTTTAAAAAATGTTCTGTAATCAATACTATGTAATGTTAAAACTTTCAAATGAATAATCTGTAAACTATTCTATAAATACTCTCATATGAGTATCTAAATGATAAGTAAATTTTCAATACTGTTCTCTAATCCCGACGCTATGATGCTAAAAAAGAAAAAAGGGGAGATGATGTATCTGTATAACTTGATGCATATGTATCCGGGCGGCGCTCAAGCCAGAACTCAAGCATAGGAGCGACCCATAACCAACTCCATATAGAAAGCCTAGAATGCCTCGTGTTTCATGTAGTAGAACCGTGAAAGCCTCTTTATTGTATTTTCAATAAAACCCCAGTCTGTCATCTCAACAATATCATTGTGCTTATTCTCCCGTTTTCCCCCCGAAACTATACACAAATCAAGTAGGACGTCATTTTCCTCGACCGGGGGTGGCTACCGCCACTCTTGATCGCCTGGCTGTGAGTTGCTTAATCGCCATAGGCTATATAAGGCTATAAGAAATTGTGTAGCCGGCTATAGAAGCTATTGGAAATCTTACAGCCGGCCGTAGGTCTATGGTATTTTGGAACACAGGTTCTACTGCCAGTTTTTACCAGGGCATTCATTTCTCCAAAGGTAAACTGCGCGTAGAACACGATGTGTACATTAAAAATGCGAAAAAGTAACTTAGAAACCGAGAAATGCCCAGCTCAAAAAGCGCAACTTTCCCGCAAATGTATAACGCCCTGGTTTTGCGCCGAACCGAATGATGTCATCCGGCACCAATGAGATGCGAGCATCAACGACTTCCGTCGAATGACTTCTTATTCCTCGTATATGAAATCCACATGGACATTTCTGTTTAACGGAACTAAGCGCAAAATTGAGTCCTTTTGAGGATTTTAGAATCCCGGATAGCGCTTTCTGTCAAACGGAACTAAGCTCCATGGAAAATCATTGCGAGTATAGGACGGAAGGAGCATCGCGTTCCGCAACACCCTCCAATCCAAGCCCCCTCTCCCTTCCTCCCCCTATGGCACTTATTGTTAGTTCCGTTTGATGATAATATGTCCAATGGAGATGTTGCAGGTGTGAGGGATTTGCGATTTGACCATTGATTCTTATGTAAAAGTTCGCGAGAAACACGATGGTGCCACTGGTTTTCTCTGAAATCATCTCCCAAGCTAAAAAAAAGCTCTCAAAGTGAGGCTAAAATGGAGGGGATATCCCACCCTACCCTGAGAGTCCACCTCTACATCAAGACGAACCCTCCGTGCAAAGATAGGGAGCAAATACAGTAGCAAGGTTGCCACTTTATTTGGGGACTCCAAAACTGAAAACACGGCATCACTGCTAATATATATGCTCCCTATCTTTGCATGGAGAGTTCGTCTTGATGTAGAGGTGGACTCTCAGGGTAGGGTGGGATATCCCCTCCATTTTGGCCTCAACTTGAGAGCTTTTTTTGAGCTTGGGAGTTGATTTCAGAGAAAACCAGTGGCACCATCGTGTTTCTCGCGAACTTTGACATAAGAATCAATGGTCAAATCGCAAATCCCTCACACATGTAACATCTCCATTCTTACCTTGCCCACTATTAATTCATCAATAAAACGTTTCCTTGGATGAATTTACCTTTTTTCTTCGGTGAAGCTGGGGCATGTTCCCGGCACGACCGCATCATCCAAACATCGTTGAACTTTGGTTTGAACATCAGGGTGTCGCACCATGGCCAGCAGAGCGAAACCCAGGGTGTTACTGGTTGTTTGCGAGCCAGCAATGAAGAAATCCAGGCATACTGCCACCAGCTGATCCTCTGAAACGAATATGACCCGTATTACCACTCTAATATCAATACTGCCGTGCTAAGGAAAAACGCCATATGAACATTCGAGAGTTGCCAAATTTGCATTTATAAAACACGAATTTCCTGGTAAAAAATTATCGACGGTGAAATGATTAGACCACCTTATTCGGTTTTCGACATTGTAAAGTTTCTGAATTTCTTCATTTTTTAAATAAAAAAACTACTCAACCTTGACTATTCTTGAATACTCCTGCGATTTCTCTGTGTTTGAAGAAAACTTTGTGAAAATCTCGAGGAATGATATTGATTCGTTCCTCTTCAATAAGTAAACAAAATTCGAGCAAATATTTTTAAACACTGCAAACGAGAAACGTGGTCTGGTATACCGTCGAAGTACGGAAAAAACTCAAAACGGATCGAACGGAACTACATGTCGACGGAATAAATCGGAAAAAATCTAACGAGAGATAGGAGGGCGGAACCGTATACTTTCTCTTCGTCTTTCCTCTCCATTCTTCCTTCCCCTCTTTTTTCTCCTTTTTAGTTCATATTATTTTAATCCGTCGGCGTGTAGTTCCATTGGCTTTGTTTTGAGTTGTTTTCCTCATAGTTTTTGGTGACTGATTATGCCGGCGTCCGTCGGTTGGTGACGCGTTCAGTGTTTTTTTTGTTTTTTTTTTCCACAATGCGTCATGATTTTCCCCGATATTTTATATTTGTGTTTTGTTCGTATTTTAATTTTACTGCTTCTCTTGTGGAAACAATACAAAATACTATGATCATCTACGCGAACTTCCTAACACTCAGATCCCTATCTACTGTAACGTCAAAATTATTGGACGCCGCAATCTGATTGCACAATGCACACGCACAGTGGATTGAGTCAATCAGTGAGGTCGGACAAGACATTTACGCAAAAACTCCATCTTAGTAACAAGTACTTTTTATTTTTTGATTTTTGATTTTTTGCCTTGTGATGGGACTGATTATAGCCCTCGTGCTTCGGCACAAACAACAAAGCAAGATGAAAACTGCTCAACTCCGCCCGTTTGAAAAATATAGTGCCGAACTCAATGCGGTCGGCGTGGGACGCAGATTAGCGCCTACAAAACTGTGGGAATACTTCAAGAATTGCGCCAAACACAGCACGGTCGGCTCGGTCGGTTTGAGACGCATATATAGCGCCTACAAGGCTGTAGGAATACTTCACGCATTGCGCGAAACACAGTGCAGTCGGCGTGTAGCGCACATCGATGGCTAGCTAACAATACCGCTTTTCTGCAAACGGACGAATTTGCAGAATGAAAAGAAAATTCTCGAAATGTACAAAGAAGCTCGGTAAGTTTTGACCCCGCACAGTGGATCGAGTCAATCAGTAAGGTCGGACAAGAAATTTGTAACTAAAACTGCAAATTCTAATGTTTAATTCGTCACATTTTAAATTTTAGGAGGAGCTTCTTAAAGAAAATTTCACGAGAAAAACAATGGAACCACTTTTCATACCTCAAAGTTTTTTATTCGAGGTGTTAAAAGCTTTTAATGTTTCTGCATTCCGTCCGACCTTCCACATTTACTCAATCCATTGTGCTACGTGCAACTCCTAGATGCAATTATTGCTGCTCGACGGATGTCTGCGCTGCATATTCAAAATATTGCAGGCGCGTCCCAGCTCTTTTTGAACTCACAGCTTGCCGCACCTTGGGGTTGTATTTATGGTGTCCCTTAAGCACTCCATTTCTTATGGAAAGATCATACGGTTCATAACATGATTAACGGAGTTTCACTTACACTGTTAAAAATCTTGAAATGAAATCCGGTGCATAACTCACTTTGGAGTCTATAGACCACCAAAAAATCAGAATGATATGTGCACACTGTTAAATTCACTCTATAAGAGCATACAGAAATCTGAAAAAAGGGTAGATTCTGTTCCGTAAAAGTGTAAGTGACTCCGTAAAAGAATAGATTAGAGTTCGTATTTGTATCACTCGAGTTTCTGGGACGCTGTAAATACTCTGGAGTGAGGTATACATCGAATTTCACTCCGAGATTTTTAACGGTATCCTTGCAAGAAATTAGAATGTCTTGCCTGCGTGGAAAATTCTCCGAATTAACACAATTTTAAGGTGAGTAGGAGCCTACCCTAAAATATACAAAACCGGCAATATATATTCTTTTGTAATTTTTTACTTTTGGTAACGGTGAATTATTATAAACTTTTGTAAGGAAAAGTTTCTAAAATTATACGGTTGAATTTTACTGGAAGTCCGCAACAATTCTCCTTATTATAATGCAATGCTCAAGGATACTTTAAACCACCCACAACACTGCCGTGCTGAGGAAGAATACCGTATATGAACCTTCAGGCTTTGCCAAATTTATTTTGATAAGACACGAATTTCCTCGTAAACTTATGAATATGTTCCTTCCAATTATTCAGATAATTTTGTTCGCAATTTCACCTAAAGTCTTTGAAAATTTCAAGGAAAATTATTCATTTCTTTACTCGAAAATAAACATTTTATCGAGCAAATTTGGCAACTCTCGAATGTTCATACGGCGTTATCTTCTTCAGAAAGACAGGATAAAAGAATCACATAAAGCCTCTGTAAGAAATAACCTGTTTAATGAATAACTTTAAATGCGACCTTTCACCGCCGAATGGATTTGGCTTGTCTCTTGCCTTGCCATACATTTTAAAACTTTCCCTTGTTGTATTATGTGAGGAAAAATCTAAAGTTTTAGAAAATAAATGTAAAGTTTTGATTCAGCGTTACTTACCATTGAATATATCCTTATTTGTTTCAGGAGCATCTATTGTTGATAAATATAAATCTATGAAATCTCTGATCTCACCGGTTCGAGTCTTTTTGTGAGTTTCAATTTCAGCCTAAAAATTAGAAAATAGAATCAATAATTTTGTTTATAATCGTAATGTTAAATTTTGTTTTCCTTCTGGGGTTTTTTTTACGGAAGCAAATCATTTTTTCTCTTGTAATGCTTTTTTCCGACGTTATTCTGTTGAAATTTACTCAAGACTCAATAAAATTTAGGATAGAAAGATTCCAGTCGAGGGCCTCTAGAAATTAGTGGGGCACCACGGATCGTAAGGAATGAGGACATAAGGAGAGAATTGGGGGCACCCACGCTGAAACAATGAGGAGATATGAATGCCGACTAGATAAACATGGTAATGAAGAGGCTGTGAACCTCTTAGATAGTACAATTTTAGTGAAAAGGTTAAAAAGGTGGGAGACCTTCGAACTCCCATCAAGATTTACTTTGTAAGTAGATAAGGTATGAATGAGAGTGTGAATGGAGTGCGAAAGGAAGAATGTTCAGTAATCAAACTAGCAACATATACTGCCGTACTAAGGGAGAACGCCGTATAAGCCTCCAGACGTTGCCAAATTTCTTCGATTAAAACCGAAGTTATTGGGCAAAATTATGACAATTTTTCCCCAAAATTTTCTGACAACTCTGTAGGCAATTTAATCTGAAATATCTGAAAATTGTAGGATAAACATGCATAAATTTTGTAAAAAGTACATGCTTTATCACGGGAAATTTGGCAACTCTCGTATGTTGATACGGCGTTCTTCCTTAGCACGGCAGTATAGGTTTTAATATTGTTAAATGAAAAGACAGAGAATTTCATAATTTCTGTTTTTGAGATGGTGGTTTTATTATCTAACGTTACTTTGAATATTTAATGAAATTAATTTAATTTATATAAATCATGTAGATTTATACAAGAAATATTCTTGTATTACGTTTTATTTCAATAAAATTTGTTTAAAAAAAACCTTAAAATTTGTTGTCCTTTTCATGATGCTATGCTGAAGATATCCTTTAAACCTTTCCTAGTAAAATTGTTTAAGGAAGACAATGCCACTGAATTCGGTTGAACTAGCTCGGTGAATCCGAATTAGTTAGGAGCATATGGAACCAGGTTTTTTTCGGTACACACGACCGAATTATTCGGTCTGCTCGATCAAACCGTTCGGTTTGTGCAACCGAAGTCTGACAACCCTGGTAAAAATTGGCGATAAGAGCTGCGTTTCAAAATACCATAGGAATTCTTATAGCCGGCTAAAGAAGGCTACAGAAAATCATACATATGACTTGGCATTGATATGGGCTGTAGAATGCGGAGAAAATCATACGGCCGGGCTATACGAAGCGATAATAAATTATGCAGCCGGGCTATAGTTCCTATAGCTGGGCTTTACACTTTATCGCCTAGCTGTTGCTTTTTCGCGATCGATTATAAAAGGCTATAAGAAATTTGTGTGCTTTGGAAATCATCAAGTTTGATACGGAACCACCTTGATATTTACAAAACACACGTTATATTTTCCTTTAATGCATATTTTTTTTCATCAATTAAAACGAGAATAATCCATACAGAGTGCGAAAACATTTCAAAGTCATGAGTTGAAAAACGCTGACTCCACGAGATTAAAATATTAGAGCCTAACACAAAGCGGAGCGGCGACGCACTGGCGCCTACAAACCTAACAGGGATACTTCACGCATTGCGCAACGCGTGAAGTATCCCTGTTAGGTTTGTAGGCGCCAATGCGCGTTTTGCGCTGGCTGCCCGCCTGCCGCGCTGCAGCTTGCCACGCCACGGCGCTTGAAGCAACTATTTCACACCAGAGGTATTGCACAGTATTTCATACGAAACTGAAGGCGCTCTAATATATTAGGAATGACAGGCATCCATCAAAAGTACGGAGCTTTTCTCGCACAATAAACCAAGATACTACGGCCCAAAAAGAAAGCAGTGGTCCAAAAGCTCACTAAGTCCTAGCATCCGTAATTACTGACGTTTAGCATACACTTTATCGCCAGGCTGTGAGTTGCTTAGTCGCCATCGGCTATAAAAGGCTATAAGAAAATGTGTAGCCGGCTATAGAGGCTATTGGAAATCTTACAGCCGGCCGTAGGTCTATGGTATTTTGGAACACAGATTCTACTGCCAATTTTTATTAGGGAAATTCTTACAGTTTGGTTCAGCGGACCAAACAGTTTGGTTTAGCAGATCGAATAATTTGGTTGTGTGTACCGAACAAGGCCTCATTCCATATGCTCCTAGCTATTACAGATTCACCGTACTTTTTTTTCAGTCTGGATGCTACCCTGAGTCCTGTCAAAGGTTATCAAACTTCATGGATCTTTAACAACTTTTCATAGATCCTAAGTATGCTCCGAGTTAACTGCCCTTATTTCACTTGTGATGATACCTACTGGTAAAACAAAAACCACTGACCACGATGAAATCACGAAGTTGTGAATTGAGGCTGGAGATGAGTTTGTATCCCGATTTTTCGGGGGCAAAGAACCTGATCCACGGAAACTGGTTGAGGACGCCTCCAGACATGTCAAACGCTTTCCCTCGAGAACTCATAAGCTCCAGAAGTCGACTTAGTTGGGGATCATCCAGAGAAAAACGGGATCCTGCCACAATGGTCCACAGCACATTTAACACTGAAATGAAAATAAACACCTTAGTGAAAGAAATCCTTGGAAGTTCGATTCTTTAAATTGGGTAAATTATAATAATAATTATTGGTTAATAATTAATAATAATTTGGTTTTAATTGGATCGATTCTTTTCATCTTTTTGAGAAGTCGCATTATTCTCTCTTTTCTACGAATAGTTTTTCAAAAAGGTCCTGCACTACTATGGTACTGGAAAAAAGTAGCTTGGATCTAGGCAGACTCTCAAAAATATTGACAAGAAAAAATACTCTTGATTCAATCGAACTTTTGCTTGAAACAAGAACCAAACCTCTTTATTTAAGCAGATTTCCTTTTGATTCAAGCAAAAATCCGATTAAATCAAGAGTATTTTTTCCTGTCATTGTTTTCGAGAGTCTGTACTCTAGATCCGAGTGACTTTTTTTCCCCGTGCACTTTTTGCAGAACAGAAAATAACATGACTTTGAAGAGACTGTTTTCAGTTGAATACTAGGGGGGTCTGCCCCCTAGTATGCCCCCGAGAATTAGGTCCATTTCACCAGCCCCCCCACTTCCACAAAAAAGTATGAAAAATATGCCATCGTTTTGTAAGTGTTTTGTAACGTTTTGTAAGTCTAAAAGAAAATTTTGTAAGTCACTCCAAATGGTTCAAATGGATAACTTAATTTTGGGGGGGCTGGAGAAATGGTATCCCCCCCACTTCGCGATCGATAAATTCTGACAACGCCAACGTTTTGTAAGTGTTTTGTAACGTTTTGTAAGTCCAAAAGAAAATTTTGTAACTCAATTNCCATTTGGAGTGACTTACAAAATTTTTTTTTAGACTTACAAAACGTTACAAAACACTTACAAAACGATGGCATATTTTTCATACTTTTTTGTGGAAGTGGGGGGGCTGGTGAAATGGACCTCCGAGAATTTGATTCGGTGAAGATATCCCGCTTACCCAAAGGTGCCAGGTATTTAGTGACGCAGATGTTCTCCCTTTCAGATCGAAGCAATTCTATGAAATATCCTAGTTCCTCTTTTATAAGACTTTTCATCATCACCTTGCCAAATCCTAGCTGGTGAAGGTGTTTGAGTGCAAACTTGTGCTGCTCCAGCCATACCTCTCCATCTGTGATCGTGATACCTATAAAGTAAATTTCGATTAACATCAAACCACTTATGTTGAAGCAACGGGAAATGGGCCTAAAAAGAAGTACCTACTCTTATTCTGAATATCTTGTTCAAAATACGTGAAAGAGCCATGAAGAGAGACTAGCTTTGAATGTCTCACTTTCATTGCGACATTTCATGATCCTTTTACCACTGGAGGGCCTCATCTGGAAAATTTTTGAAATTTTAAACCTATTTTGAGACATTTTGAGACCTCCGTAAGGCAGATTTTCCATCAGTTTCTGCGGAAAAAATATATTTATTTTGTTTACCTTCATAAAAAAGGCTTTCAAATAAGAAAATCCGGAAATTTTTTAAATTTTAACGCGATGTGGACGCATTTTGAGTTTTCCATGATGAAAATTTTATAAAATAGGTATTTTCAGGGTTTACAGGGTATTTTCATTCGAGACTCTATACTAAAAGATATAATCATTCTGGAGGAAGGTTTTTCGCACTGTCCAAAATTTCTGAGGGGATTTCCTCCATGATTTTCCATCAATTGCTGCGAAAAAAATACGTTTAATTTTTTACTTCTGTAAAAAAGACCTCCCAGTTGTTGCATTCAAAGGATCCAGATTTTTTTTTAAAAATTTATACTCCGTTTGGACGCATTTTGCGGATTCCACGATGAAAAGTTGTAGAACATACTACCTGAATGAACAGGTTGATTTTATTAAAGACTCTGCATTAAAAGAGATAAAAATCCTCGACGAAGATTTTTTCTCACCATCCAAAATTTCTGGGGGGGGGGCAGCTGATACTATTTTCAATTCTATGGAGGGGTTCAGGCCCCCTTGGACCCCCTTCCGTACTGCCATGCTAGGGAAAATTGTCATATTAGCATACCCATGTTGCCAATCTTCCTCTCAGAGGATATGTATTTTGGAAGAAAATAAAGAGCATTTTTCCTTGAGATTTCCGGACCATTTAGATCAGATTAAGAGCTAAATTCTCTGAAAACCCGGAAGAAAAATGTCTGTTAATATTTCCAAAAATTTTTGATTTGTCAAAGGAACTTTGGCAACGCCTGGAGGCTCATATGGGGTTCTTCCTTAGCACGACAGCGTACGAGTGTTCCATTTTCCTCGAGGTAGCATTTAGTGATGACTTACCTCGCCGCACACCGAAAGTGCGGAGTCTTGTGAAGAAGTTGTCAGGCCGAGCGAGGAAGACATCGCTGAGATGAACCTCAGCAAGGTTGTCCTCCGAAAAGACTACAACCACTAAATCGGAGCCAAGCTGCAGGCCTAAAATCGACGTCTCGAACTGTTCGGCTAGAGACGAGAACGCTAGATGTAGGCCTCCTTGCTCACGGCTCAGTCGTTTTATTAGTGGAACATTGCCCACGAATTTCAGACCCTCGGGCCCTGAAAAAATAAACGATGAACAGAATTTATAATACATGCTGTGCAAGGACAACTTTCATAGAATCAAGTTATGAAGAATTTTGAAGAACAGCGTAATTTTATCGTGGCATCATGATATATTCACTTTTCCCCCCAAATGCCATCAGGGGATGGATCTGCTATTTTTAGAGACATCTTTTCAACCAGGTCCACTCCTCACTGAATTTGACGCCCGCAAAAATTCAATTTAATCTACCATTTTCCTGACAAAATGTATTAATTTTAAGCCGAAAACGCTTTTGATAATTTAATCGTGTATTCATTCGGTGCCAAAATCACGAGGATGAGCAAAGCTAAGATAATTTTTTAACCAGAGAAATTATTACTAATTATTTTCCCCCTCACTACTCAGCTAAAGCCCTAGAGGGCCTCTAGGATCCCCCAGGGGCAAAATAATAGTTACATAATAACAATAAAATGCAATGTTGGAATTGATTGACTTGTAAGTCTCGATAAATAAAGTGCCTGGTAAATGGATTAAATTGTAAATTTAAAAATAAGTTTAGACCTTTTTCTTAAAATTTAAACCGACTAAATTAAATTATAATTTTGAAAATTATTAGTTTGATTCAACTTAAAATTTTAATAAAATAAAAATAAAAACAAATAAGGTAACAAAAATAATGATATTAATATTCCAGATTCTATAAAACTTGCTGTGTACTGTTTCAGCCACCTGCCAAAAATCATAATAATATTACTATTTAAGGGATCAGCCATTTCTGTGCATGGATTTGGCAGGAAACGAAGATGGACTCATCTGTAATCATATTTCGCTAATACCATCGCTCGTTTCCGACTTACGGATTTTTATGAGCTTGTGGCTTGAGCTTCAGCTGTTGAGCTTACAATTCATTCCAGATATAAGCAGTGGTTATACCATAGCTTTACTCGCAAAATTGTACAAAAACGTAAAACATTGAATGTCTGCCACTTTATCAGAAACTCCATTTACACGCGTTAAGGCACATTCCCAACGACACACGTTATGGTTGTTAAGCCAGAAGATATGAAGTTTAATCGCCCATCAATTACTTGAATGGTTGGTACGTGCGTTTTTTTATGTAATGCAATATTAAGTAGCGATGTTACATGAACTGAATTCGAGCACTTCCACAGTAATGATGGTTAAATATTTCCGGATATCCCGCGCAAAGATGATTTAGTGGAAAAGAAGTTTTCAAAACGTGCTGAAACGAAAGAATTTCGTTGGCTGGCCCTGAAAATCACATACTATGTTTGTAACTTTGTCAGTTGATCTCGGCCTAAGCCGAAAAAGCGTTGGTGTTAATGAAAGTCCCCCTTTTTGCATTAATTCACCGGCATCACAAAAATACTAAAACAAATACAAATTTTCTTTCTAAAAACGCCTCAGCTATACGGGTGAAATGAAAATTATGACCAATTTGAAAGTTCCGTGAAATGTTTTATGAAATTTCACTACGCTGCGAAAAGTATGGAACACGTTTTCAGGGTCTGAGTAGTGAGTACGCAACACGCGTTAATAAACATAAAAAAATTTAAAAAAAAAAAAAATAAATAAATACTTGCCCCGCAAGCAACAACCCGCGCTTCGCGCGGCGATATTGCAGGAAACAAATCCGAATATCTCATAATATATGCGTATAACTTTTAATTCACTGATTTTATTTGGATCGCTGGAAAATTAATGCATACTTCTATAATTTAGGACTGAGTCAGGGAAATATAAGGTTCGTTAAAAAGTAACCATCCCTAGTACCGTGTGACACTATTGTTAACGAAAAGTTTTTGTAACTTGTCAAAGAGGTTTTTGAATGATCTTCGAATAACTTTTGATGAGCTAGATGTAATGGTTGTACGCAGCTCTTGCACTTCTGTTCGATATTGTCAAGAATCATCTGAATTTTAAAAAAGTGTCCGCTTGTTGGATACCCAATATGCTCATTCATGCATACAAGTAGAAGCGCATGAAAGCTTTAGCAGACATTTTGGAGATGAACCAAGAATTGGATGAAGAATTTATGACTTAAATCACGGCACCTTAATTACGGGATGACCTTAATTACGGCAACTATGTAATGTCCATGAGGTGCAGATGGACCCATTTCCTTAGCTCATCAAAAGTTATTCGAAGATCAATTTTATCAGCCACCCGTACGACCCACGTTTCTAGTGACCCGTACACTGAAAAAAAGTTCTGTTGTCCAGAACAACCAGAATTTCTGGTTGTATTTCGCAACCAGATTTTCCGGTTGATTTAACCAGAATTACATTTGACTCAACTAGAATTTGGTGGAGTCAACCAGACGTCTGGTTGAGTCAACTGTAATTCTGGTTGAATCATCCGGAAAATCTGGTTGCGAAATACAACCAGAAATTCTGGTTTGTTACAACA